AGAAAAGCCTGTGCAAACAATTCACACATACAAACACACATATGCCTGAGCATAGCCTGTGCAAGCAAAGCACACATATAAACACACACACCCGAGCACAGCCTGTGCAAGCAGTTCACACATATAAACATGCACATGCCTGAGCACAGCCTGTGCAGGCAATGCACACATATAAGCACACATGCCTGTGCAAACAATGAACACATATAAACACACACACGCCTGAGCACAGCCTGTGCAAGCAGTGCACACATATAAGCACACACTTGCCTGAGCACAGCCTGTGCAAGCAATGCACGCATATAAGCACACATGCCTGTGAAAACAATGCACACATATAAACACACACACACTGCCTGAGCACAGCCTGTGCAAGCAATGCACACATATAAGCACACATGCCTGAGCACAGCCTGTGCAAACAATGCACACATATAAACACACTTGCCTGAGCACAGCCTGTGCAAACAATGCACACATATAAACGCACACACATACCTGAACACAGCCTGTGCAAGCAATGCACACATATAAATGCACACATACCTGAGCATAGCCTGTGCAAACAATGCACACATATAAACACACACATGCCTGAGCACAGCCTGTGCAAGCAATGCACATATATAAGCACACACACCTGAGCACAGCCTGTGCAAGCAATGCACACATATAAATGCACACACACGCTTGAACACAGTCTGTGCAAGCAATGCACACATATAAATGCACACATGCCTGAGCACAGCCTGTGCAAGCAGTGCACACATATAAACACACTTGCCTGAGCACAGCCTGTACAAGCAATGCACACATATAAATGCACACACACGCCTGAGCACAGCCTGTGCAAGCAATGCACACATATAAACACACATACCTGAGCATACACATGTTCATGTGCTGATGTGCACATACATGTATACACACTTGTGTGTGTGAATGTGTGTGCAGTGTGTCAGCATGCATATGTGTGCAGACAAGTACACCTATGTGCACATTTGTATGCAAGGTACATCCATGTACAGGCACACAAACGTAGCCAGTGTGACCTCCAATGCACACACACACAGACAGTGTCTAATTCTTGTGCTCATCATCTGAGACAAGCTTGAAATGCCATAAGTTGCCTAGGGAAAGCCTGTCTCAGTGTTGCAGTGCAGTGAAGCAGAATGTCCCCTGGTCCAGGAGATGTGGGACCATGTCCCAGTACAAGCCACTTGGCCTTGCTGGCCACCTCCTCCATCTTCCCGTTGAGCAGTGAGAGGGCTGCTGAGCCTGGAGATGGCCTGCAGTAGTCAAGCCCAGGCCTGCCCAGAGGCCAAGGGAAGAGGCTCAAGGTGGTTGGGAGTAGGTGCTGCCTGGTTCCAGATGAGTTCCATCCTTTCTGGAACTCCAGTCCCCAGCAGCAAGATGGAAGCATAGGCCCTATGGGCTGGCTTTGGTAAGGGCAACAGCTGGGAAAACCAGGAAAGGCCACGCAGTTGGGGACAGCTGCCCTTCACACTCAGACCTCAGGCACCCACCACATGCATGGGGCTCAGATGTGCCATGTGCATCACTCTGGTGCCCCCTCCCCTGGAGACACCCCCACATGCACGGGGTTCAGATGTGCCACATGCAGGCCTCTGGTGCCCGCTCCCCTGGAGACACTCACCACATGCATGGGGTTCAGATGTCCACATTCAGGTCTCTTGTGTCCCTCTCCCCTGGAGACACCTTTTGGACTTGAGCTCGTTTTGTGGCAAAGGCATCAACCATCCTGGCCCCATTGTGGCTGGTAGCCTACTGAATGGCCACAGGCTACTCTTCCCTTTCCCTAGGCCTCAGGGCTATGTTGGGCTACATGTTTGAGGAATTCACAGGCTTATGTCAGTATGAGGAAAAGCCTGGGCCCTCTGAGTGGGCAACAGATGCCAGCTCGTTCTCCTCCCCACAGCCCCTGTGGCGCTCAGGAGGGAGAGTAGGCTATCCTTGGGGTGCCTGCTGTCACACCCCAGCCCCTCGGGGCAGATGCTCTCACCCGTCTGGTAGCTGAGGAAACTGGACCTCCTAGCTGAGACAGGCTGCCCAGGGACACATGGCCAGTGCTCCTAAGCCCAGCAGGTGGCTGCACTGCAGTGCCATCAGGGAGTCAGCCCCAGGCACTGGCTTCTCTGTAACCCTTGCTATTCTGACTGTTTTCTTTGTAGTCACTGAGCAGGCGACTAAAGTCCCCAAGAAAACCGTCATCATGTAAGTGCAGGCGTGTTCCTAACCCGTCCTCGGACTGCAGTGCCCTGCATGCCACTAACCTTCCTGGGCCTTGCTGTGTGTCCTGGCCACTTGCAGTGGCTGCACTAACAGCCTTGCTCACTTCTGGCCACCAGTGCCTTGCAGATTTCTCACACAGCCGTGGCCTCAGGTCCCTCCACACGTCATGGCTCTCTTGCTCTGCACACATCACAATGGCTCACCAGAGTCGCACCACTAGGGTGGGGCTGGGACTGAGCCACTTCCTCAGAAGGCTAGAGACAGACTCTTATCCCTTGGTACCCCAGGTCTGGGACGGTATCATCCAACAGAACTTGCTGCAGTGGTGAGAGTATTCTCTCTACACTGTCCAGTGTGGCAGCCACTAGCCACGTGTGTCTGTTGAGCACTTGAAGTGTCTAGTGTAGCTTAAGAAATGAATTTTAGGGGCTAGAATTGTGGCTCAGTGGTAGAGCACTTGCCTGGCATGTGTGAGGCCCTGGGTTTGATCCACAGCACTGCACATAAATATAGAAATAAAATAAAAAGATCCATTTACAACTAAAAAAATTTTTTTAAATGAAGGAATTTTAGCCTAACCCAAGCCTAACCGAGGTTCAGGGAAGTGAGGAGGCTTAGGGTGGCTCCCAGAAGTCAGCTGAGAGCCCATTTCCTCAGAATCATGCCCGTGGGCTCTTTGTCCTTCAGTACCTTCATGCTGTAGAAAATCTGTGCATGTTGGTGATCTGACTTGGGGGATCAGAGCTGGGTGAACCCACAGAACATAGGCTTGCTTATGACCTGGACAGTCCTGAAGACTTGCAGAGGAGGTATGCAGGTGGAGGTGTGGGGAGCTGTAGGCAGGACTGGCTGAGGTTTTTATAGGTTACAGGCTGGGATGCTCCAGGATAGAAACCTCCATTCCCCAGGGGCTGAGCAGCCGCCAGAAGGGCCTGAAGGTGGCTGTGCTGCAGAAGAATTCTGTCATCAGAATTGATGAGGCCTTGGGTTAGCTCTTCCCTGACCTCCCTTCTCCCCGAAAGTAGTCTTCTCCTACTGTGCCACCCAACAGATGGGAACAGTTGGGTGGTAGAGTGCCATCCTGGGTACAAGCAGGTGTTCTAGGGCCTCAGACAGGTTATTGCTCCCTTCCCTCCACAGGGGGAGCATTGTAGAGATGGAGCCAGATCCCATTTGGGAAGCTTCAGAGGCGACCTGAGGGGGACTGGGGATCAGAAACATTCTGGGAAGTACCCACCTTCATCCTGCAGAGAAGGCTGTGCCCCCTCAGCTTTGGCCCTCAATAGGCCACCAGGAGCCTCAACCTCCCCTCCAGTCAGTGGAGTAGGAGATTCCCTTCCTCCTGGACAAGGGATGGGGAATGTAGGGTTCATCACTGCTGTGCACCTTGAGGGTGCCCATGTGTCTCTGGGCCCGTCCCTGGGAGCAACTCTTCCTGGAGCCCCGAAGTTAGAGCAAGAAATAAAAATAAATGCTGAGAGAGAGAGAGATAGGCAGTGCCTTGGTCAAAGCACCAAGTCCTGACCATGGGTAGATCCTCAGCTGAGCACCGTGGACTTGCCTCCCTCAGCCGGAGCCTGCTCCCTGCTCATGGCCCAGTTTACCTCAGCTCCTGCTAGAGCCAGGATCACTGGCAGCAGAGGAGGACCTGGACTAACCAGTGCATTGCTGACCCTTGGATCTGGGCATTTTTGAGCCTTTCCCCCTGTCCATGCCTGTAAAGGGGATCAGAACCACTGAGGGCCCTTGCTGAGACAGGCCAGGGCTGCAGAGTCGCTGTCCCTCCCAGCATGCACTCCTGAGCTATTGGCCTTGAGCTCTGCCCCTCCCACCTTGGGAGATGCCAGCCAGGCGGGGGACACGGCCATCTGGAGCTCAGTGTTCAGCCAGTCTTCCCCTTGGCCTGCTGGGGCCTCACTGGCCTTAGATCCAGAGGCCAGGAGCACAGGCTGCAGGCCAGCAGCTTGTCACTTGCCAAGGACTTCACGGCATGCGGGCACTTCCTGGTAGCAGGCTGGGCACCCTGCCTGAGGTACAGAGCAGAAAGCCTGCTGAAGAGGGGGACGGGGAGACAGTGCAGTCCTGGTGTCCAGAGGCTTCAGCTTGGGTGATGTAGCACGGGCCTTCTAGGTGCCTCCACATGTCTTGAGCAGAGCAGAACTTGAGCTTAGCCATGTGAAACACTGTGCTTGGTTTCCTTGGCTTCCTGCCAGGGACTCTGCAGGTGGGGCTGAAGAGCATGTGTAGGAGTTTGCACACTCACCCTCCTCACCTGTTTGTACCTTAACTTGGTCTCTGGCATGTGCTGATGGCTTGGAGCTGGGTGAGGCTGCAGATCTCTGTGCCCATCTCTTCTTGGGCTCTGTGCCCATCTCTTCTTGGGCCCTCTCCCCTACCAGAGAGGAGACCATCACCACCGTGGTGAAGAGTCCCCGTGGCCCACGACGGTCCCCCAGCAAGTCCCCCTCCCGCTCGCCTTCCCACCGCTCCACCAGCCCACAGAGGCCAGTTCTGTTGGCCCCTGACCTGCTGTTCCTGCCGGGGTCCAGGCAGCCTCACAGGCCTGAGACAGAGCCAGGCCGGAAGCCCACTGTGCCCACACTGTACGTGACGGAGGCTGAGGCCCCCTCCGGAGCCCTGCCAGGGGGCACAGGGCCCCAGCCCAAATGGCTGGAGGTTGAAGAGACTGTTGAAGTCCGAGTGAAGAAGTCGGGTCCTCAGGCTGTGTCTCCCGCCAGGGAGGTGCCCAGAGGCATGGGGGCACTGCTCTTCACACTGCCTGGTGGGACGCCAGGTGGGGACCCCAACGCCAACAACTCCAACAACAAGCAGCTGGACCAGGAGCCCCATGCCCAGGGCCCAGCTGTGGTCCGCATTGGGGAGCCCCTCGTCTTCCATGTGGATGCTGGGGGCAGTGTGGACTGGGCTGCTTCCGGAGCAGTCAGCCCTGAGCCAGAGGAGACTGGGGCTTCCCTCAGGGACAGCAGCACTGAGTGGGCAGGAGTAGAGGGTGATGGGGAGAGCCCTTTTGTGGTGGAGGAGCCCCAGGACACGGATGGCCTTTGCAGCCGTGACCCCAAGATCCTCACACACAACGGTCGTGTGCTGACCCTGGCTGACCTGGAAGATTACGTACCCCAGGCAGGGGAGACCTTTGGCTGCCGTGGCCCAGCAAGCAGCACCTCCGACGACATGCCCTGTGAGGTCTCCGTGCTCCAGAGAGAGATCAGTGAGCCCACTGTGGGGCAGCCCATCCTGCTCAACGTGGGGCGCCCACCCAGACATGTGGGTCCACCTGGCTTCTTCAGGACAGGATCCCAGGTCCACAGCCCTGAGGACCTGTCCTTCCACATGCGAGGGGCCCGAGCTGGGCCTGTGGGCAGCGCTCCTTGGACCTCCTCCTGCACCCGGGTCCAGCACTCTACAGACGGCAGGCAGAGCAGCTTCAAGACGGAGGTTTCCACCCAGATGGTCAGCTTGGGGACTGTGGGAGAGACTGTCACTCTGCATATTCGCCCAGATGGAGATGAGGCCCCTGGCCCCTCCCAGGGCTGAGGCCACATACCCTGGCAAGACAGGGAGGCCAGGGCACTCTTACTGTGCCATCCTTGCAGCATGGGGCCTGCACCCTGCTGGGCAGCAGCACCTGCTCAGGAACCCCAGCTCACCTCAGTCACCTGTGCTCAATGCGCTGCTCTTCTGAGCTCGGGGCTCAGCCTGCCATGCCCTCTGTCCTGGGCCCTTCCTACCTCACTGGACTTTGGTCCTCAACAAAGAGGACCGCAGTGCCTACAATGCTGGATGCACTGAAGTCCTTCAAGAGAGCCCTGGCCAGGGGCAGCTCAGAGACCAAGCTCTGGGTTGTCCCTTCTGGCCTGCAGGAGCCTCCAGGCTCTGGACACAGATGTGGACTTGGGCCTGTGTCCTGCTCCCACTGGGCACAGCCTTGCCTGTCCCCAGGCTAGGGATGGGACCCAGACCCCCAAAGCCACACCCAGGGCCAAGTGGCCACCAGCGGCTCTGCAGGGTGGACACAGGGTCTGTGTTGGGAAGTGCACCTGTATTCTGGCTGATAGAGCAATAAACCAGTCTGCGCCTCCTCTCTGCTCCTCTCGCTCTCGCACTCAGTACCCCGGGATCCCCTCCACCCATAGCCCTGGTTGGGCCTAGACCAACTTCCCTTGTTCCTTCACTCCGAGGTCAAGCTGGGAGCCACATGGGTGCCCTGTATTGGCTCCTGTGTGCCCAGATGGGCTGTGGCAGCACATGGGCCTGTCTTATTCCCAGGCAGGGGCTGTGGGGCTGGTCCTGTGGACACATGATATGACCAGAATCACCCATAATTGTCCCTCTGGCCCACCAGGAGCAGAGCAGGCTTTCCTCTACCTGGCAGCTGAGGCTAGTGTCAGGACAGATGTGGTGTGGGGGTGTGATATGGTGGTCCCAAGTTCTCGGCATCTAGAGGTTTACCCCTTTGTCCCCAGCTAAGGTGACCCAGGACAACCTAGCATTTGTCAGAGGGGTGGGAACCACTCTCTGCTAAGCTCCAACCCTGAGGCTTTCCAGGGATCCACTGACCTCTTGGATGGGGAAGGGGAGGAAGGGGAGGGTGGGTTCCTGACCCCGCAGAGGGCATCCTGGAGCTGCCTCTCCATCTTGGGTGCCCCTCCTGGGCAGGGGCTCAGGAGGGCTGGGGAAGGCTCTGGGCAGGGACCTTCTGGGGATGGGAGTGGTCAGCATCCTCAGGCTGCAGATGGTTGGCAGGTGGGAAGGGCAGGGGCCATGCCTGGCAGGGGCCTGGGGAGTCCTTCAGGGATAGGTGGAAGGGGCCAGGGAAGGGTAGCATGGCCTGGACTAGCTGTAAGTGGAGGGTGGATGGTTACTATGCAGATGGAGTTGGGTAAGGATAGGGCAGTGGGTCTGTCCCCAGGAGGGGGGCCAATGGCTCTAGCCACCTGGACACCATCCCCATGATTCCCTGGACCTTGACATGGTATCAGGCTGCGCCCAGGTTTAGAGCTGGGGTTCAGAGTCTGCCTTGCAGGACAGCCAGCCTTGGGATGAAGTGTGTGCTGGGATTTGGGGCACATGAAGGGTGAAGAGTGGGTTCGCGGTCCCCTGGCCCAGGAGGAGGAGGAGTTCTCCATGGGGCACCTGGGTGAGGACAGGCCTGAGCTCCAGAGGAGGAAGTAGCTGTCCCCAATGTGGGTTCTGGGCTTCTCTCTCTGTGCCAAGCCTCCAGCCCTCACAGCCTCCTGAGCAGGTGGGTGAGTGAAGCAGGTGGGAGGGGCCATCTGGGGGTCAGCCCACTGGGCTGTCTCTGACAGGGACTGGTCTCTGGAGGCCCCTACCTGGGGTCAGGCCACACCAGACCCTGGGCCTTACTATCTGCTGCTGACCCACCTCTTCATAGGTGTTACCCAGGAGGGCTCCGCCCAGCCCTCTCTTGGAGCCGACCAGGAAGTCCCATCTGTGCTGCAGAGACTGCTGGGCCCTGAGGCTCCAGGCCCTTCTGCAGGGGACTTTGCCAGCCCCACCCCTGGCCCCAGGGAACCACTGGCATTTCAGGAGGCTGGCCCCCAGGCCCCAGAAGCTTCGGGCACACCTGGTAAGCCCTGCAGAGAACTGGCTGCAAGGACACATCCTGTGCTGACCCTGTCCTGGCCAAGGAATGTCCTCGGGCTCTGAATTTGCACATGGCCACCCCAGCGTCCTCAGCATGGTGTCAGTTAGGTGCAGGTCTGGCCCAGTGTCCCTCTCAGGACCAAGAGTAAGGCAGCTTCGTCTTGTCTGTCACCACCACCAGCTGTGACAGATTGGTGCCCACAGGGGATGGAAAGGCAAAGGCTAGGGATGGCATCTCTGTGGGAGGCTGCTGGATCAGAGTGGCCACAGAGTTCTGGTGTCCAGGAATGAGGTGATGGAGCAAACCCCTGGTGTTGCTTGGCCTGCCTTGGTGCTGGTGTTCACTTTCCCTGCTGCTGCTTTGGGGAGCAAGCCGAGCCCCTTCCCATCCTGGGCTCCCTTTCCCTCCACTCATTCCCTGTGTCCTGCTTGAAAATGGAGGGGTTCCCCTAAGTTCAGCCTCCATCCAGCCCTGTCCTTGGAGGCCCAGCACATTGCCCCTCCCTGCCCACCCCAGTGCTGGCTCCAGCCTGAGATGTCTCAGTTCACCTGCAGCCAGCCTCGGGGCCCTGGAGAGCCTCCCCAAGGGCACCACCACCTGGTCACCCTAAGCCCTACTTTTCTAGCCAGTCTGTTAGGCTCTCCTCTCTTCTGTCCCTGGCCACTGATAGAGTGGGCCTTGTCTGTGTGCTGTGGCCACAATACAGCTTCTAGTGCTGGGTGACGTCACCTGCAGTCTCTCCTGCCCGTAGGAAGCTGCCAGACCCTATGGCACCCATAGCGTGGGATATAGCCACTTTCCTGGGTCACTGACCTATGCTGTCAGAATGTTCCCTGGATGGCAGCCTAGCTGCTGGGCAGGGACACTGAAGTGGGTGTCCCTGGTGGGGCAGGTGCCTGCAGAATGGACCCCAGCCAGCATGCACATGCTGAGCCATGGGCTGAACCTGGGCTTTGGGGACAATCTCACCCATGGCCCCCAGGTCCCTGCAAGCAGTGGTCTTGCTGAGCATACACACACCCTGGCCTGGTGATGTGGGGGACTGTTGGGCAGTGCAGGGCCGAGGAGGGTCCCTTAAGCCCCAGCCCAGCTCTGTCTCACGAGGCTCCTCATCTCCCAGCAGCTGAGACCCCAGAGGTGCCACAACCTCTCATCCGGGAAGTCCTGGAGCAGGAGACGGTGACTGGTTCTGGGGCCCAGGGACGGACCATCCCCATCCGGTAACCTCCCCCAGCTAACTGAGTCATGAGATGGGGGCAGTCCTGCCAAGGACAGCTCATGGGTGGGCAGGTCCATCCGCTCTGGCCATGTGGCACGCAGAGGTAATGGGGTGGTCCTGTGGCCTCCTGTGCACTCCTTGACTGCCCCAGGCCAAGCCAGTAGGCAGGGAAGAAGGCCAACCTCAGGGCAGGAGGTGCAGGAAGCCCCCACAGCAAGGACCAGGGTCTTCCATCTGCACACCTCATCCCCCCGCTTGTCGGGAAAGCCTAGGACCCCATCTTGTCACCTCTAGCCAGCAGAAGCTCACCTAGCTCTGTGATTCCAGGGTGGAGGGTGCTGCCTGGCCAGGGGCAGGTGCCGGGCACATGCTCTGGGATGTCCACAGCCATGTAGTCACAGAGACCACACAAAGGACCTATGTGTACCAGCCCGTCGACACCAGTGCTACAAGTTCAAGTATGGGGGTCAGGGGTCAGGGGTCAGGGCATGATGTGAGGGTGGCCCTGCAGTGCCTGGGCTGGGGGCAGTTGCTTGGAGGGTGGAGGGGCCCTCTAGGTCCCCGCCTGCTTCAGCCCAGATTCCCCACCCCTTCTCTTAGGCCACAATGGGGTGGGGGCTGGAGCTCTCCTCCAGGAGAGGCAGGCACTACAGATCCGGTGTCTGCGGGACCCAGTCCTGGAGAGAGCCACTGGCCCCTAGCATGTTCTGCCTGCCTTGGCTTGACTGTCCTCCTGACTGCTGGGCCAGCTGAGGGCAAAGCAGGGAGACAGTGGTTGGATGGAAGGAAGAACTTCCCAGTTACCAGGGGGCCCTGTTGCCTGTTGCCCTGGGGTGTACTCAGAGCCTCACTGACCACATGTATGGTCTGTGCAGCCTGGGAATCCCTCCCCATGTCCCCCTTTCCACCTCGTCCCAGGGCCCCCAACCATGCAGGTGACCATTGAAGATGTGCAGGTCCAGGCGGGTGGTACGGCACAGTTTGAGGCTGTCATTGAGGGGCACCCACAGCCCACTGTGACATGGTACAAGGTAAGAGCTGGCCCAGGGAGGCAGGGTGGGGCCCTCAGAGGCTGGAGGCACCTGTGTGTGCATGTGTGTGCGAAAACCGCACCACACGATCCTAGCTGTGCGGCCCCTCCTGCAATCCCCAAGCCCATCATGGCTGGGCATGAGGCTGGACCTGGGGCCGACACACAGCAGGTGCCAGGGAAGGGCAGGTGGGCCTGATGCTGGGATGGGCTGATGGCGTCGTGGCCTGCTGGTGTTTCAGGACGGTGTCCAACTGGAGGACAGTGCCCGACTGAGCCAGCAGAAGGATGGCACCACTCACTGCCTGCTACTGAAGGATGTGGTCCAGCAAGATGCAGGTGTCTACACCTGTCTCGCACACAATGCTGCTGGCCAGGTGCTCTGCAAGGCGGAGCTGCTGGTCCATGGGGGTAAGCCGCAGAGCCTCCCAGGCCCAGGGCCGCTCGGTCTCCACATGGCATCCCCAGTCCCCACAGGGACCCCGGCTCAAGGTTCCCATGGGCCACAGGCCCAGGCCTAGGGAACAGCCTGCCAGCCCCACAGTACTGGGGACAAGGGCCAGGGCAGTGCCTTTGCCGTCCTAACTACCTTCTGTGCTGACCACAGGAGACAGTGAGCCAGATTCAGAAGAGCAGAGCCGTCGGAGGAAGCTGCACTCCTTCTACGAGGTCAAGGAGGAGATTGGCAGGTACACTCCAGCCCTTCTGGCCCCGGGGATGCCCAGGACCCGTGGCACAGCGTCACCATCCTGATCCCCCTCCCTCCTCCCCAGAGGCGTGTTTGGCTTTGTGAAAAGGGTACAGCACAAAGGAAATAAGGTATTCTGTGCTGCCAAGTTCATCCCCCTGCGGAGCAGAACTCGGGCCCAGGCGTACCAGGAGCGAGATATCCTGGCCACGCTCAGCCACCCGCTGGTCACTGGGCTGCTGGACCAGTTTGAGACCCGGAAGACCCTCATCCTCATTTTGGAACTGTATCCTTTCTTCTCCTGGCCCCTTGGGGTTTGAGGAGGGGTGCAGTGGCCACCAGGCTGGGGATTGGAGGAGTGAATGCTCCCTGGGGCTGGCAGGTCGTGACGGCCTCAGCCCACCTTCCTGTGGCCAATGCTGTGTGACAAGCAGCCCTGTTCCTGCCGCTCGTGATGGTGTTGGTCAGGGGGTTCTTTCTCTCTGAGGGTTGTCCATGGGGGTCACCAGGCAGGGTCAGTGGCTGAGCTGGTCCTGAGGGTCCAGATGTCCTCGGTGGAGATGGCCAGGGGTCTCCTCCCAGGGTGACCTCTCAGATGCAGGAGAGGAGTATCCTACACAGGTTACTCCAGGTCTTTGCCCACTGCCCATAGGTCCCTGACTGGGGTCTCAGTGTGGAGGGCCTTGTGGCTGGATCTGCTCCTGTGTTCTTGTCTCTCCCCTGAGGAGGGATTTGTACAGACAGGCCAGGTGCCCCCACCCTACCACTGCCCTGTGGCCTCAGTCCCCAGGCAGCCCCCCTCATCTGGGCTGGATGCCGTCTGGGGTTCCAGGGGCCCATGGCACCTCCCCTCAACCTGAGCACCAGTACCCCACCCCTGAGACCGCAGGAACCCTGTCCTGGCCACCTCCTGGTGGGTTCCAGCCTCAGCTGCTTTCCTTGACCAGGCCCCAGGTGCTCATCGGAGGAGCTGCTGGATCGCCTCTTCAAGAAGAGCGTGGTGACAGAAGCCGAGGTGACCCTGCACCTGCCTGCCACTGGCCTGAGCTGCATGCGGGTCCCAGCCCCACCCAGACACAGCTGCCCCAGATGTGGCCCAGGCCCCGCCTCTCTGGCTGCCCGGGCTCTGTGCCCAGCTGCATTGCCTGGCTTCCTGCACACCTTGCTTGTTCGTGGGGATTTCTCTGGCTTTGGCACTTAGGGCTCAGGATGCCACCTACCCTGTGGGCTTGTCCCAGGTGCTAGACTGGGGCACTCAAGCAGGATGAGTTAAGGTGGAGGGCCGGGGCCCTTCCCTGAGCACAGCCTTTGCCACAGGTCAAGGTCTACCTCCAGCAGTTGGTGGAGGGACTGCACTATCTGCACAGCCACGGGGTCCTCCACCTGGACATAAAGGTACTGTCCCTCGGGCCCCTCCAGAACCTGGGTGGGAGAGGGGAGCCCTGGGCCTGCAGGATAGGAAGGGACAGGCCTACCGTGTCCAGTTTCCTTGACAGGGCTTGCTGTCCTGCAGGGACTGGATGCACTGCTAATTGGCAGCTCATCCGTGGGCTCTGCTCTGACAGTCTGACTGGGGCTCCCCATGCCCCACATTGGCCTCATGGACCCTGAATGACTCCCTGAGGCCTGGAAACCCCAGGTAGCCCAACCCCCATAGACTCCCCCAATACTTTCTGACAGCCCCCCAATATCCTGATGGTGCATCCTGCTCGGGAAGACATTAAAATCTGCGACTTTGGCTTTGCCCAAAAAATCACCCCTTCAGAGCCACAGTACAGCAAGTACGGCTCTCCAGAGTTCGTGTCCCCCGAGATCATTGAGCAGACCCCTGTAAGCGAGGCTTCTGACATCTGGTGAGTGGTCAGGCTGAGTCAGGACTGTGACCCTCCTGGGACCATGCTGGGGAGTCATCTGGCAGCCCAGCAGCCAGCCAAAGGGTCCTCTCTGAGTCTCTGCCTCCTTCTGCACCCCTGGGATCCCCCATACCTCCTCCCACATACCCCTTGCCTGTGGCCAGTCCTGGGGTGACTCACAGTGGGTGGTTTTCTTTCTGCAGGGCCATGGGGGTCATCTCTTACCTCAGGTGAGCACAGCCTGTTCTTGGCAGCTGCCTCTTCAAAGCCAACCCTTCTGCAGAATCCTGAGGGCCACGTGTGCTGTTGGCCACACCCCAGACCAGAGACCCAAGAGCCCAGGGGCAGCTATCTTGGGAACAGGCGGTCAGCCAACCCTGATAAGAGGCTCCTGCCCACTGCTCTTCACAAACACCCCGTCATCACTAGGCAGAGCTGAGCTGACCCTGTAGGGTCTGTGGGATTTTTGTCCAGAGTCCACTCATAGTGGTCACTGCTGCCCTGAAGATACTGGTGGTACAGACTGATCCTTGACCTCTGCAGACTAAGACCTGTCCCCACCTCAGACATAGACTGGTGCCTATCTAGGCTCCCTGGACTCCTGTCCCAGTTGAGCCTGGATCCCTAGCTCAGGCTGAGGCCAAGTACCCACCCCAGGTTGAACCAGCACCCAGCCTTGGCATACATCCCTGCTTCAAGCTAGCCTGGGTCTCCTTTGTAAGTTCAGCCCTGTACCCTCCTCTGGCCATGAGAGCCTCAGGTTAAAGCAGGGCCCCCATGCAGGCTGACATTTCCTTGATCCCTGTCCCAGCCTGAGTGGGGACCCCAACCCTGGTCTGAGCCCAGACACCCTCTTAGGCTTTGCCTGGATTGGTGTTCCAAGCTGAGGCAGTATCTGGGGAACCTCAGATACTGCTGGGTGGGAGTGGTGCTAGAGTTGGTCCCCAGGGGCTTTGTTTGAGGGCAGGCTCTGCCTGTTTCCAGCCTGACCTGCTCCTCCCCGTTTGCGGGAGAGAGTGACCGTGCCACCCTGCTGAACGTGCTGGAGGGGCGGGTGTCCTGGAGCAGCCCCATGGCTGCCCACCTCAGTGAGGACGCCAAGGACTTCCTCAAGGCCACGCTGCAGAGGGCCCCAGGGTGAGTGCATGCCTCTCTTGCCTGCCCAGGGTGCAGCCAGCCCTGCCCAGGGCCAGCTGACTGCCTGGCTGACCTGGGCTCTGCTCTCCCTCCAGGGCCCGGCCCAGTGCCTCCCAGTGCCTCACCCACCCCTGGTTCCTGGTGAGTAGGCCCAGCCTGGCTCAACCCCAGGCCTGCAGGGAGGGACATCCAACCCAAGGGGGACGAGGGCCTGCCTGCATCAGCACATATGGTGGTGGCACCCAGGCCCCTGTGCCCCAGTTCAGAGGACACTTGTCCCTTCAGACAGGCTTGGGATCCTGAGACCCTCACAGGGGGTCAGGGCCTCCCCTACGACCTCTGGCCTTTGCCTTGCCCTGTCTGGGCAAAGTAAGAGGATGAGCCCATGAGACCCCAGGGCTGAGGGCAAGTCCACCTGCCCCTGCCCAGCTGGGCCTCCATCCCAGGAGGGGCCCCCATCAGGGCGCTGGGGTCTCTCCTCAATGTGGCTCCTCCCTCACACCCCAGAAATCCATGCCTGCGGAGGAGGCCCACTTCATAAACACCAAGCAGCTCAAGTTCCTCCTGGCCAGGAGCCGCTGGCAGGTGAGCTGTCCTCTGAAAGGGGGATGAGTGCGGGGGCAGAAACGCAAGCCCAAGCCCGCCTAGCACACTCCCAGGCCTGGCACCTCATCGGATCTCAGCCATGAGTGTGCCAGGTGCAGAGGAATACCGGTGGCCAGGCAGAAGCCAAGAGCCTGGTGCAGAGGTCCCCACTGCTCTGGGTCCCCTCCCTTTGGCCCACTGGGAACGTGGAGGGAGAGGGTCTGCTGGGTGCTGCGGCCCCACCCAGCGACTGCTCTGTGCTGCCCCCAGCGCTCCCTGATGAGCTACAAGTCCATCCTGGTGATGCGCTCCATCCCAGAGCTGCTGCGGGGCCCACCCGACAGCCCCTCCCTGGGAGTGGCCCGGCACCTGCGGGCAGAAGCCAGCGGCTCCTCCAGCTCCTCCTCCTCGGACAATGAGCTCGCTCCGTTTGCCAGGGCCAAGTCACTGCCATCCTCGCCCGTGACCCATTCCCCGCTGCTGCACCCACGGGGCTTCCTGCGGCCCTCTGCCAGCCTGCCGGAGGAGGCAGAGGCCCCACCAGCCTCACAGCAAAGCACAGGGCCCCTGGCAGCCCCCGGCTGCGTCCCCCGGCACAGCGTCATCAGCAGCCTGTTCTACCAGCAGGCAGGCGAGGGCCCTGAGCAAGGCGCCCTGGCCCCTGGAGGCCGCCGACACGCGGCCCGGAGGCGGCACCTGCTCAAGGGTGGGTACTTCGCCAGGGCCCTGCCTGGTCTGCGTGAGCCGCTGATGGAGCACCGCGTGCTGGAGGAGGAGGCTGCCAGGGAGGAGCAGGCCGCGCTGATAACCAAGACACCCTCCTTTGAGACGGCCCTGCGCCTGCCCAGCGCCAGTGCCCCTGAGACCCCCGGCCGTAGCCACTCGCTGGACCAAGACCCTCCAAGTGCCATCAGCCCCTTGAGTGAGGCCTGCAGTGAAGGACAGTGTCCTCCCACAGCCTCTACAGGGGAGGCTGGTGGAGAGAGAGACCAGAAGCCCCTGAAAGGGCCCAGTCTGTCTCCATCACCTGCTAGAGACTCAGGGCCTGCTCAGCAAGCGGGGTCGTCCAGGCTGGGGCAGGAGGCTCCTTATTGTCACCCTGAGCAGGGTTCTGCCCCCCAAAAGGGCTGTGGCCCACTGTCACCACAAACTCATGGCTCTTTGCCTCCAGGGTCTGTCAAGGAGATACTTCTGGAGCCCCCCTGCCCCGCCCAAACAAGCTCCCTGCCAGGCTCTAAGAAGGAGCCTGGCAGCATCTCTCGACCTGGGGGGCCTTGGACCAGCTCCTCCAGCTCCCTGGAACCAACCTGCCCCACAGGCATGGAGTCCAGCCCTTCCCTGGACACTGGCAGCCTGTCCCAGGAGTGTCTCCTTAAGTGTCCCCAGAATTACCAATGACAGGTACTTGGGATTCCAAAAAAGTCAAGATTGCGTTTTTTTCTCCTAGGGACAATTGGGTCAGTTCATCTGATATTAAGTGTATTACACTTTAATAAAATTTGCCATTTGGAATTCTGATAGGTGAATCTTGGGGTTTCCACTTGGAACGAGAGTGAACCAGTTAAAATAGATAAATTTTAACAAAACAAAGTCCACCAAAATCAGGATCTAATTGAACTGGGATTTCAAAAGGTTTTGGTAAAGGGTTTGTTTGCTAGACCTGTTCTCAATACTTGAAAAGAACCAAGTTGTTGGTCTTAAAGGATGTGTAAACATTTTTAAGGTTTATTCATGAATGGGTAAAAGGAATTAAGTTTTATTTTAAATCTGAGTTGGTCAAACGTTGAAGATTCACTTTTGCTTAAGTCAGAACAAAATTTGTACACTGAATTAGGTTTCTGAGTTTAGCATATTTAAATTTACATTTTAATAAACAGCAAATTAAAACTGCTAGTGACAGATAAAGTAGCACTTGTGTGGACTTTTTGGAAGATTACTTCATTATCTCCACTTTTTATTAAAAAGGAGGACTGGAAAGCTCCAAGCAAATTGGACAGAAATGGCCATTCTAATAGCACCTACCTAATAGAGGGGACTAGGTGAGCTCTGTCATGATCTATCAGGATCCCTTGAATGATGCGTGCCACAAAAATCAAAGCTCAATAAATGGTACCTTTTTTTCCTTGTTATTACCTGTACTGTTTCTGTTAATTTTATTATAACAATAAATACAAGCCAGCAATGCAATTCAGGAATATTATGTATTATACATTATATAATTTTGCACACAATATGTATTTATCCTACTAAAACTGGATCTGCTCAAACCAGGGCTCTCTAGATACCATCTGTGGAGCTACTCACAAATCTGCTTACCTTTACAAAATATCCCAGTGTGGGAAACTAGTGCATAAAAATTGATAAGGAGCTGCTCTAATAGTATGGTTTTCAGCAATAAAATATTCACAGAAAGTATGTAGTTCATGCAACATGTGTATACGCCTTACTTCAGTAAAACGGGCTGCAAAGACTGATCTTCCAGAGATTCCTCACATGTTTCTAGTGATAGCCTGCAATTCTAACTGTATGTATTCATGACTCTGTGGGTCTCAGTGGCATTTAAGTGGCATTTTTTAATGATTTTGTTTAAATGAATGACAGCGGAATGCATTACAATTCTTATTACATAGATACAGCACAATTTTTCATATCTCTGGTTAAATATAAAGTATGTTGACACCAATTCGTGTCTTCATACATGTACTTTGGATGATGATATCTATCACATTCTACCTTAAGTGGCATTTAACAAGAAACTTTCAGGGACTGGGATGTAGATATTTCAAGTATCACCATGGATTTTCACATCTACATAAAATTACTCAAATGAGTTATTAAGAGGGCAGCAATGGCAGTGGTCTACTCAGGGTAGCTTTTCATCTTTTGCCACTAAAACTGAACCATCCAGTACACAGCAACAAGCCACAGGGCTGTTTATTTTCAATTGATTAAGATTTAATGTAAATGAGTAATTTCATTTGAGCTCTAGCTTTGCATGGCCAGTGGGTACCATGTTAGAAAGCAGAGATAGAAGATGTTTCCATCATCACAAAAAGCTCTGATTGGTCAGCTCCTAAGATCTGGGGATCTATCAGATTATCAGTTTCAGAAATGTAAAGAACTACCTGTCTCTCTAAGAGAACACTTATTAGATTCTTGTAAAAGGAAGAAAGTACCACATGACCAGCAAATCATTTCTAGGAATATGCCCAAGAGAAATGAAAATATGCACCCAACAAACACTTGTACTTAAATGTTCACAGCAGCATTGTTCACACTGTCTGGAAGGCAGAAATAACTGATGAATGGGTCAACAATAGTGACCTTATCCTCACTGTAGAAAATTACTTGTCATTAAAAAGGAATGAAGCACTGATTCATGCTACAACATAGATGAACCTCATACATTGCGCCAATTAAGTCAGACACAAATACACACATATTGTATAATTCCATTTACATGAAGTGTCCAGAACAGGCAAATTCAGAGAGGCAGCAAGCAGATTAGTTGCTTGGAGCTGGAGGAAGGGGAAGAGTAACAGGGACTGCCTAATGGGTACAGGATCCTTGGTGGTGATGAGAATGTTTGGGAACCAGGATGAGATGACAGTTGCACAACACTGTGAATTTCCTGGAACTGTTCAGTTAAAAATGGTTCACCATGCGTCACATGAATTTCACCTCAATTTTAAAAAATCTGATCCTGATAACTGAATGTGTATGAAATAATAAAAAGAACAAGGAGGACCAAAGAAGAGAAAAACAGATAGAGGAGCCCTGGAAGGGCCAGGTACAAGTAGACCAGATGTCTAAAAGGAAGAGGGGTGGGAGGAATGCTTTTTAGGTAGAATGCTTTCTAGGTGGAATGAAGTAGCGCCGGTGCTGCTCCTGGAGACCACTTATAAGGCGGGACATTGAATCATTCTGGGTGGTCACAGCAGATACCTCTGGACGTGCCCATGTGCAGCTCACTTCTGCTGGGCCAGCCCACTTCTGTGTCTGTAGGAGCAAGGAGGCCTCTCCAGGCCCACTGTCCCTGCATACACGTCTTGGTCAGGATTAGCTCAGTCCCTCCACACACCTCCCTAGGGCAGGCATTTTATTAAGGAAGTTAAGAAAAAGAAGTATGAGGTTCCAGAAGAAGAATGCAGCCTGGGGCAGACTCAGAGACACCCCTAGAGACAGTTTGTGTCATGTGGGGCTCCAGCCTGGCTTTGCTGTGTCTGTACCCTCTCCAGGTGTGGGTCTGTCCCCCTCCAGCCCTAATGTTAGACTGTTCTGCTGGGTCTGTCCTTGCAGCCTCATCCACATAACCAATAATCTCCTATCTCAAAAATGAAAAGTAAAGCCCACCATAGGAAGCAATTGCACTTCTGGGCACATATCCAATGGAGATGAAGTGTGTGTGTGTGTGTGTGTGTGTGTGTGTGTGTGTTCAAGAGACACCTGCACTCCTGTATTTACAGCAGCACTGTTCACAACAGCCAAGATACACAATCCTCTGTGTGCCCACCAAGGAATGAATAACACTGAAAATGTGATGTCCAGACAGTGGAAGGAACACCATGCAGCCTTTAAAAAGGATGGAACCCTGACATCTTTGACCACATGGATGAACCTAGAGGACATTACAGTTGTCCTCAGTACTCACAGGGGACTGACTTCAGGATCCTGTAGATTCCAAACCTTAAGTATGGTCACAACCCTTATATATGATAGCATGCCATTTGTGTCTAACCTAAAATCTTTAAGTTATCTAGGATGACTTCTAGTACATAATAGAATGTAAATGCTATGTAAGTATTTGTTCTGCTGTATGGTTTAAGAAACCGTGACCAGGGCTGGGGTTGTAGCCCAGTAGTAGAACACCTGCCTAGCATGCGTGAGGCACTGGGTTTGACTCTCAGCACTGCATATAAATAACTAAAATAAAGATCCATTGACAACTAAAAAATATTAAAAAGAAATCATGACCTCCCCCCAAAAAAAGACTGTACCCCCCCCAGCTCCTGCGCACCAAAAAAAGACCACACATTTTTAGGGCAGACACAATTTTTAAAAAATGGTTTTTGATCTTAGATTGGTTGAACCTGCAGATGTGAAGGGCCAGCTGTACACAAGTGGAATACTACTCAGTCGTAGAAAAGAAGGGAATCCTCTTTTCCTGACATGGATGAACCTGGAGGACCTTATGCCAAATGAAAGAAGCCAGGCACAGAAGGACGGCTACCACATGGTCTCTCTTTTGGACTCTGCAGCTAAGCCATCCCTGATCCTCCAGCTGTGGAATGTAGAAGCCAAACTCCCAGAAGCTGAGCAGAATTGTGGCTATGGGGCTGGAGGGGATGGTGCCAGGGAGATGTTAAAATCCCCCTATGAAGAAAACACTGACCACTCACCTCCTCCCAACTTCTGGGTCCCCATGGGCTCTGACTTATAGTGTCATTTAGCTGACACCAATTCTCCAGAAAGACATCCGGCTGTGTTGAGCTTAGCATCTCCCCTTGGTGCCTCATCTGTCCTGTAGCAGTGATCCTGAGTTGCCTTGGTCCCCAGAAGCCTCTGTGTCCTGGGTATAACTCAGCAAGCCCTGGGCCACACAGCAAGGAGGCTCTCCCTGGCCCAGGAAGAGGTCCACAGCCACACTGATCATGCCTCTAGCCATGCCCCCTTCCCTACAGGTGCCTGCCATCTCACTGCCTGGCTGCAGCTACCCCTGCTCAGGTGGCTGGGATGCCAGGTCCCCCTGCTGCTCAGTCAGGCTCTGGAGGTTGGAGGTGGGAGCTGCTTCTCCTGGAGGGCTGCCCTTGGGCCCCAGGCCACCTCCCTGGGGCCTGGGCTCTGGCCTCACTCTCAGCCCAGGGCAGAACTCTTCCAGTTGGTGGACAGACTAATGCTGGTTTATGGGCATTTGCTGCCCACTGGAGGAAGACAGTCAGTGATGGTCAAGTGTGGGTCAGCTGGGGGATGAGGGATGGGTCAGCTGGAAGGTCAAGGATAGGTGAAATGGGGGGTCAGGATGAATCAGTTGGGTGTTCAAGGATGTCAGCTGGCAGGTCAGGATTGGTCGGGAGGACTGGTCATGTGGAAGGTCAGGTAGAAGGTTAGGATGGGTCAACTAGGAGATCAGGGATGGGTCAGCTGAGGGATCAGGTATTGGTCAACTGGAAGATGAGGGATGAGTCAGTGGTTAGTTAGTAGTTTGGGCTCAAGGAACCCCAAGGCCCCATCTGGACTCTACACTATCCTTCACGGAACACTGGGGATCGTAATAAGTCATAGGCCAGCTGGGCTGATGTTGAGAGCCATAGGCCTGAGGTAGGACTGGCCAGCATTACTGCCACTCACCTCAGGCTCTGGTTGATCCTCCCTGATCCTCCACTTTTCTTGTGGTCTTATCTAGACCATGGCCTCTCCCCAGAGCCAGGCTTCACCTGTGCCACTCACTTCTCCCAGCACCAGAATCACTGAGTCACATCCCATCCCTGCCTTCCCCAGCCCTTAAATAGCTTCACCACCTTCCTGCTCCTCAATTAAGTAAAATAGGCCAGTAAAATATGCCTGTTTTAATCTTCTTGGGTTTCTAAAACAAAATACTATAGGCTGGGTGATTTATAGACAACAGAATTTATTCTCAAGGTTCTGGAGGGCTGAAAGTCCAAGATCAAGTTGTTGACAGACATGGTGTCTGGTGTGACTCTCCTTCAGGGATGGCGCCACCTGCTGTGCCTTCCTGATGCAGGAAGTCCACTCAAGTCTCTTTTGAAGCACTTAGTCCAATTTCTGTTGCTATAACAAAATGGCACAGAGTAACTTATAAAGAATAATTTATGTAGCTCACAATTCTGGGCCATCCATACCATGGTACTGGCATCTACTTGGCATCTGGTGAGGACTTCCTGCTGCACCTTGACCTGGGGAGGGCCTCAGGTGGTCCCCCACAGGTGTGCCAGAGATAGCACACTTTGCAAACAAAGCCACACCCACCTCGACCCACTAGTGCCCTGGTGACAGCAGGGCCTTCCTGACTCTGTCCCTCCACAGACCACCAACACATGACCTTGGGGATTGAGTTTGCAATGCAGGAGACTTGAGGGCCACCTTCAAACCAGAACCAGCCCTGATGCCATCCCGAGGCTCCATCTCCAAGGCCCTGCCTCCTAACACCATATCTGTGGGGTTAGGCT